CGTCGCCAGCCCCGGAGCTCCCAACGTTGTTTAGAGTTTTTGCATTGACGTGATGCCGCGCCGAAGGAAGTTGCTGCGGGTGACATGTCTAGCCCCCCTTCCTTCTCCCTTCCGTCACCACTCACCACTGCCTACTGCCTCGGTATACCTCGCAGCAAGTACCTTGGATTGCACAGGTTTCTACCCAAGTATTCTCCCAAGTATCTACCCACTATATCTTGTAAGGCGAGGTACTGCGAGCCTCACTATGTATTTGCATTGTGCCTTACCTCACTCTGTTACTCCCGTGCCGCTTATCCAGAATGACTATGACAAACCATCACAGCCCAAAGACACCCCGGAGAAAAGCCTTAGCAGAGAGCCCGATATCTCCAAAGGCGAACCGGACGCGATCTCGTCTCGCCTCTCATCTTTGTCACCGGCAGTAGTGTAGCTCAGGCACCGCGTCACGTCTTCTCCAAAGTGTCCCCCTAAGCTTTCTTGGTTTAGGCCCAGGTTAAGAAAAGAAATCCTCCGCTAGTCCCCCCGTTGACTTCCGCAGCCTCCGATGGCCCCTCAACCGGCGTCAGGGGGAATCTGACTAGGCATGCATTTTGTATGGTTTATAATGCTGGACTTGTCGAAACTCTGTCCGGACACACCCCCGTTGGCCTTGGAGAGAATCGTTGAACGTCCTTTTCCCCTTCATCGGCGGACTGTGCGAGCGCGAACCGATCGGCGGCCGCAAAATCGCATTTTACATACAGTCGGTCAGTCGCACAAGCGTTGATAGCCATGAATGGATACGCGGGGAAACGAAGACGATCGTCGACCGTGAGCGGTCGCCCGGCGTTCCTCTGGCGTGTCTCGAGTTCCAATTGGGATTACATCGGCTGACTGTCCGTGTGTTTCGTCCGTCCGTATCCAATATGTAATCTGTTTGGGACGCCCGACTAAAGTTCTCGTAGCTTTCTTTTCTTTTGCTCTTCCAAATTCTAACTGGATATCACCATTAATCTCACACGCGTCTTTCAGGAGCTCATTTCCTTGTGCCCTCCTGACCTAAATGGGCTGAAATGTCGAATGCGACCCGTTGACTTTCTTGTCGTCTTCCAAGTTACCCGATTCGGACGCATCGCCAAGTCTTCCCTTCTCCCTTTAGTGAACTTTCGGTAACCGTAGGGACAGCTCAGCCTAGTCTCGACCCTGGACCCCTTCTCTTTTCACAATGCAGCACGCAGTAGTGACCAGAGATTTGATGTCTTAGACCCCTCAACGACAACTTTTTTTGGTCTCGGTTTCTCTCGGGGCGTTGTTCACTGAGTTGAACCCCCGTTATGATCCCCATCATCAGTCAATCCCCAGTCCGCATTATCGTGTACGACAAGTCGGTGACTGCGGAATAGTAGCTCCATCCCTGAGTTTGTTATAGCATAGTCAGTTGACTCGCGTATTTCTCTTAAGTGTTCCCAGCGTCACAGCCCATGAACCTCTCGGAGATTCCCCCCGTCTGAAGTAAAGCTACTCACCGACCACCGAACCCCTAGCACCCTTGTCTCTCGCTCTCTCTTGTGTCTCTGGCTCTTTGCTCTTGTATCCGAAAACGCTGACCACTCTACATCCTTGAAGAGGGTTTGTTTGATAGCTGGTGGAACATGGCCGAAGAAACGACGAGGATCGCCCCTCTTCCCTGTTCAGACGAAAAAGTCGGGACTCGGGAAGCATGCAACAGAGAGGAGTCAGAAGACACCTAGGTTCTGGCGTTCTTGGTTCTGGCTTCTGCCAACATTGAAAAAGTTCTTCTCGTTCCCTGTTTTTGGCTTCAGACTGATCCCCCATCCAACACTCTCTCCACCCTCCCACCTCGTCAGCCTCGGTCCCGGCCTTCTTTCTTCTTTGACATGTTTTTTCCCCCACGGACTCTGCATCAGTGATCTCCATCACATCTGAGGGGTTTAGAAAGAAGCATTAAGCTCGCAGGGTGCCCCGTCACCGATCCCATCACTGTGTCAGCCGTAGGCGCCCGCCCGCGGCATATTCCCTCAGAAAGAAAAAGATCTTCCAAAGAGCGGTCGTGACAAAAGTAGAGAGGATGCCAAAAGACAACAATAAGAAAAACCGCCCCGTGGAAGGACTCCTCTTCTGCCGCCTCATTCTCACTTACCGCTCACTACTCAGCAACAAGGACCCCTCTTTGCCTTCTGTACTGCCTATACTCTGTATACTCTGTAGACCCTCTTGCGCCGGCAAGGCACGAATCCCTGCGTAAATCGGGCTTCCCGCCTCGCTTTACACTTGGTCCCTGGAAAAACCAGGCCCCATGGAAAGCACGTCACTGACAATTCTGCATAAACAACACCAATGCGTAGAATGACAGTAGAATCTTTCCAACAGCTTCTGATGGGAAACATGTCTACACGTGCTATTGCGGAAAATAACGCATTGTAATGATGCCTTCTTTCTCTTGGTATTTCTTGGGGAAAACACTACTCCACGTAACCAACTCCCTTGGCGCATCAGATGCTCTCAAGGGCACAAGGAAACTATGGTAAAAGCCGACGGGAGCAACACCGTTGCCGCGCCGCGGTTGCGAGATGCTTTCCCCGAAACCACAAAGTTGTCATTCCTGTTTTGTTTGCGTTTAACCTTCCTTCTCTCTCTTTCGCCTTTCACTGGAGCAACCGACAGCGAGGATCGGGGGAGGTAACGCGGAAGGTAAAGGGGAGCCCCCCGGAAGCTTCGCAGACGTCACCGGCGACGCTGCGCTGGCAAGAGAAAGCCAAGTAAGCCTTGATCCAATCAGTTCCACTTTCTCGGACCAGCCCGTTTTCCTTGGTGTCTCCAATTTTCCATTCTCCGTAGAATGTCTCGCGCGTGATATGTCATGTGATGCTATCGATAAGAACGGGTGCCAACTTGGACTGAATGCCTGAGGCGTGACTGGGGAACACAAGGCAACAGCGGTTTACTTACCTAATCAATTCAGCATCCCTTTTGGGACAGCTCGCTCCACATGCTACATTACCTAAGCCAAATTTCCAATCGGCTGTTCGAAAAACTTCAGATCATCGCCTCAGGGTGTCCCATACAGCATCGCGAAAGAGCTTCCCCGTAGCACGCGACCAACTCATCAAAGCCTTCCTCCCCAGCGCCGCAGTCGACCCATCCGAGACTCACGCCGAAGCGACGCTGGCCGTGCTGTCACACACTCTCTCAAGGAAACCATTCAATTGGCCATTTCAAGCTCCTAACCGACGTCGAAAAAAAAAGTGAACGAGAGAGACCACGACTGCGAAACACGGAACTCTTGCCAAGCTTCATCATCACAACCTACGACCGACAATGGAGGCCAGGACATTGACAAGACCAGCCGCCACGCTGGCATCTCTCCTCCGCCAACAAGCAACCACCACCATCACCGTCCCCCGAAGAGGCCACAAGACCTTCTCCCGCACAAAGCGCGCCCTCAACATCCCTCCCCACCCCGACTTCCTCCCCTCGACCCCAGCCGCCGGCGACACAATCATCTACAACCCGCCCTCCGCCGCCCCCTCCGTCTACCACACCCCCTTCAAGTTCCTCCCGGCCTCCGACCCCCGCCGCCGCGCAAACCTCTCCGCCCTCTTCGCCTCCGCCTCCCCATCACAATCTTCCTCCTCAGCAAAATCAACAACACCCCTCCCCCCGGCCCTCAACGTCCCCTCCCGCGGCGCCAACCCGCGCTACCACCTCTCCAAGGACGACGTCGCCGAGATCCGCAAGCTCCGCGCCCAAGACCCGGACTTCTGGTCCGTCTCGGCCCTCGCGCGCAAGTTCGACTGCTCCGAGACCTTCATCACCATCTGCACGCCCGCCCCGCGGGAGCACACGCAGAAGCTCGCGCAGAAGCTCGAGGCCGTCAAGAGTCGCTGGGGTGATATCCGCGCAAAGGCCCGCGAGGACCGCTCGCGCAGAAAGGAGATGCTCTTCCGGGGTGAGCTGTAAAGAAGACGGACGCGAAACCGGAAAAAGAAAAGAAAAACCTACTCGGAAAAGGAGCAAGGCTGGACCACTTGGCAATTTGGGACGCTTGAGTCTGTTATTGTACTTCTGGCGATGAGATGAGAAGCATTGGGGGGAAGACCTGCTGTTCCGAAGCCTCTGCGTGGGAAAGCCGGGGTTCTCTGTATCACCAAGGGATGAAAAGGGGAAGGCGGCCCAAGGAGGGGCGAGACGTATGGCACATTTATTCTCTGTACCATCAAACCATTAGGGGAGTGTCACAAAATCGGCTGGGAGAAATGTAGGATAGAGGCGGGTCACGATACGCGGAGACCGAAAAAAAACTCCCAACCAATCTGTACAATGAAAGAGAGAGTAAAAGATAAGGGGCCATAGAAACTCGTGTATAATTCTTCTACCAACTTTCGCTATCACACGGCATGAATCACTGGATGCTAGACGTCTCTAATCCTTATATGGCTCATCTCTTTCTCTTTCACCCCTGGCTGGCTGTTACATTTTGGCTCACAATAAGCCACACTCAGACTCCAGTTGACGTGAGACCTAAAAACAGAGTTCACCACCGGTATGGCTACATTTCCTGGTGCGCATGCTAAGATTCGAACTCGGGTGCTCGCTCAGCCTGTCGTCGAGTAAGGCTGGTAGGCGTATGAATTGACTGTTGACCGTAAACCACTCCACCACCCAGCCAGCTCGTCCTGAGCCCCCGACCTAGAGGGGCGCCTGCTGTTGCTGGTGACAGGAATGGACTCGACCGAACCTTGATGGGGTTTCCTTTGTAGGTGTTTCTTGTATATTCAGGTGGAATGTGACGGTAATTGGCACTATCAGACTTTTTCTATCCATCTTTAACCCGGCAGCTATTCTTTGCTCGCCTTGGGCCAGCTTGCCGTCTTCAGTACAAGATCAAATCCATTCCTGCGTCGAGGCAGATTCCCCGATGGTAACCCCTTACTACCTTACCACGAATTAAGAGTGTGTCATCAAATCATTATAAAGCAAATATCAAAGGCCAGCCCTCAAAGCTGACGCATCGTAACGCCCGCCTTGTTCAAATCAGCCTCACCGGGGATGACTCTGTAGCACCAGCCACACCAACTCCGCCTGATGCCCTTCACCTCTCTTCCGAGGATGTTGTGATGGCTCTTCTCGTCGTCCCACTCGGGCACGCACGCACCGACTCTCACCATGCGGACTAGTTTGGTTTTCACCACGCCTCCGATCCCCTCAATCTCGTGCCTCTCGTACCCGGGGCCGAGCTGGGGACTCGGCGTGCGCTCATATCGAACAGTATCGAGGTGTACCTGGTCTGTGGCCGTCCACAGGTTCGCGCCGGTGACGGCCGCGTCCTCGGCATCACAGTCGGTCTCATTTTCGCGTTCCTTGGCGCCGGCGCAAGCGGTCTCGCGGCCGCAGATGACGCCGCGGTCGCCCTCGCCGATGCCCGTTCCCAGGCCGCCGAGGACTTCTCCATAATGAGCCCGCCATTTCCAGATACTGTAGCGGAAAGTGAACGTTAGCAAGAACAGGTCTTGTAAATCTTCAGCATAGTGAGAAAGGAAGGGGTCTCATACCGCTGGTAGTCGTGATCGGCCCCGCGCATGCTCCGCCCACAGGGCTGACACAGCCAGACGCCGTCGACGTCGCATCGGCAAATCTCTCGTCTCACGGCATCATCGAGCAGAGGTATTTCTGGCTCTAGCGCGTGATTGACGAAAGTTGCGATGGGGGCCTTGGTACAACACTGGCACAACCTACGATGACGCTCACGGAGAGCGTTGGAGGCTGGCGGCTTGATGGCGCAGTTCTGTTTACAAGTGTCAGCAATCAACTTTACTTGGCAAGCTCTCTATCCTCCCCGGGCCATTGCCTCATATGCTCTTGGTACCCCTTCCCACCCTTTCACGTCTGTAAAGGAATCGCTCCTTGGTGAGATGGGGCCAAGAGCATATGGCAAGGCATAGGACGGCATACCCTGCACACGACGGTCTTGCACCTTCGACACTCCGTCACCAGGTCTCGGGCACAGCTGCCGCTCTTGCCGTTGTAGTTCCGGCCATCTTCCATGTAATACCAGTTGCCGGCCCTCGCACGAAAGCGGAACGTGGACTCTGGGTCAACGGGGACGGCCTCGTTGGAGCAGTGCAGCGTCGAAGAGAGGAGAATGGAGCGGTATTGCAGCAGACCCTGGCGGACCTGGCGCGAGGTGCGGGCGAGACTGTCGAGGGTGTTGAGATCGATGTGTTCAGCTATTGACATGACGATGCTGCGAGAAAGGAGGATACGGTGTCAGTCATGATGTTTCACCTGCCACATGCGCGTGATACGGGGGGAGAGTAAACGGAGCTTACGGATAGCAGCCAAAAGCCTCAGTAGCAGCACTCTGAAATGTCGGTGTTGGCTCTGCTACGGGAGCTGGTGTCACCAACGGGGCCGGGGCAATCGCCGGCTTCTCAAGCATGTGCTCGAGCTCGCGACTGCTTGAATCCAATGCATCAGTCGCGACAGCGGCGGCAGTTGCCAAGCGGCGTGCCTCGAGAACGTGAAGGGGCTCCATATCCTCGTCGTCTAGATCAACAAAGACGACCATGGTGGGCAGGGCCGTCGCGCAAGCGGGCAAGGGACCTATATGATTGAATTCGACAGTCAAGCAAAAAGCTCAAGCTTGCGTCGCCGCCGATCTTGACTCGGTTCCTGAGACCCGAGCCGAGCTGAGCTGTGGTGATGGATGGGCGGGGTGGGGTTGGAGAATCCCCCGATGCCGCAGCTTTGGCTTCGTTCCTGACCGGGGGGGCCAGAGGATGGATGACGCAAGGTAGATCTTGGTAGATCTTGTGGATACAAAATGGAGAAGACGGTGCAAGCAAGCAGGAACAGATCAAGATTAGTGAATGGAATGAAAACTAAACAATAAGAACGTCGGTTCTCGGTTCCATCGCAAGTTGACGATGTCAAAGAGATGGCACCGAAACGGCAGGTGATGGAAGGATGATGTTGGACACTGCCAGGGGTGGGGGGTTGAGGATGAGGATGGGGAATGGGAGGGTCACAGACATTGGCCCAGCTGGGAAGGTCTGGGCCAGATGAGATCAGCACAGTAAGGCACAGGACCTCGGATGGAAGGACACCTGAGCCACGCTTCCACTTTCGTCACCAAAGCGCACAACGACGACTACGGCACCAAGCCTATTTAGATTCACAAAACTTATGCTCGAAATGAAAGCCGCAAACCATCGATTGACTACCATCGCCGTAAAATTCACAGCTGAATGTACAAGTGTCGCCCAAGCTGGAACGAAGCACATGCGGACTTCACAGTTCGCACTATCCATGACGCCGTCGACGGTCGCATTAGCTCGAGCGCGCTGTGGCTCTGATCACAAGGAAGCTTCAGCACTGGTCGAAGCGCATACTGTGCCCTTTGGAAACGTCTAACGCGTAGGTTGCGTGCTGCCCACCCACTTGACGGCGGGGCATCGCCCGAAATCCGGAAGCCGATACCCCACACCGAGCGCTCGACTACCGAGCCCGTCTTCGGCGATGGTCACCCCTTCAAATTTTTTTAGCTAATATTCCCGATATTCCGAGAGGACCAGTTTGTGAGATGGGCTAAGGTAGCCATTAATCTCAATGAAGTTTCCGTCCTGTCACCTGTGTCCTCTTTCTGGGGTCAACTTTATTTCGACTCCTTTTACCACAATTACCCGGCCCGGTTCTGGCTCCGAGCTTTCGCGGAGCTCCGGCCCGAGCGCATGCACCGGGCCGGTGATATGTCTCCACTCGCGACCGCAATTCATAGAGAACCGGCACGGAAGACGACTCCGATCGCGACCGCCTGGCAGCTTTACACGCGCCGAAAATCCTCTGAGCAGTGCTTTTCTCACTCCCCCCAAGTATTCTACGAGTGTTAGAGATGGCGCAGACAATCTGGCTGCACCATCTCACAGGTCAGATACTACAAGCACCGCGGCCAATTACTGAGCGTTCAAGCTGTAGAACATGTTCACGTTGGGGGTTGGCATCTTGAATATCAAACGACAAACTCGGCCTTTATACTTGTTTTCGGAATCATTCATCAGGTCGATGACGATAACACGTCTGTGCTGGGTTTTGGTGAGTTTGGCTGGTAATACGTTCGCGGTGTATTCAAACTTTTGGCCCTGTGGTCCAATCCTTATGCTGCTACTTGAAAGTCCCCATTGTCTCATCCTTACTTGTTTTGGACCTTCATTGAAAACTACGTGAGGATTTATATTGGTCAGTGTGTAGTACAGTCACTTGAGATACTGCAAGTGCTTGGAGTGCATGGATATTGCTCCAAGATGTAGAAGGCAGATTCAAATGTTGGTTCAACTGATAACCCCAATTCCTACTTTGTAACCAAGTTTGGGTTGACATCTTAACAAGTATCATCAAAGTTTCTAAACTGGGACATTTCGAGACTTAACATCTTCTCACCTTTGATCCATGTGTTGTTAGATCCATCACCACACCCGGCAGTCAATTGGTTAGTGAGCACAGCTGTTTGGTGAGAGGTCCTCTTTGACAGCAGGCTTCAGCAGTAGACCTGTTGACAGCGAGTCTATCTGTAGTAGTCAGCGGCTAGTTCGGCCGGCTACTGTACTTTAAGCATTCAGCAGGTTTCAGTATTTCCCATAACATGCTATTGCCAAGTCCAGTCGAACCTGCTCAGAATCTTGACGAAATGCTCAACACTAGCAGAGCCACGATCTAAGCCTCAAGACGGCACATCAAATGTCTCGAGGGGGTGTGCAAACAACCCAAGATTGATGATGCAATGCCGGTTGGCTGTGCTTCTTCCAAAAGAAAAAACACCTCACCAAGAAAACAGGTGCGGAGGTTCCAGACTCGATCATCAGAGGGCGCAGCAGCACCACCCCGGCTCTCACATTCATGCCGGACTTTTGACGGCAGGCTCAGGCTCCTTAGTCTCGCAGATGATCTGCGAACGGGAGGCAGCATCCCTGATTCAGGGTGCGGTGGCGTACACAGGGCTGATGGCCCTGACCAGAAGGTCGGTTTCATGGTCTAGACGCATTCTTGTGTTGCTATATCTGACGGTGGCGGTTGCAGGATGGGGGGATCGGGTTAGAGCGTTACCACCCGCCTCCGCCGCTCCGGAGGGAGCGGGCGACCGAAGACATTCTGGAGGCGGCGTTTCCATCCTCATGATGGCTGAGCTAGTGCCTCTCGCATCCTGGATCTCTTGCTGTCTCTCGCTGGGACTACCAGGCCCGGATGAAGCATAGCTTGTCAGAGGGCTCGCCGTGGGTTCATCCTGAGCACAAGTGACAGCCTCTTCCCTTGATGATGCTCGATCTAGTGCCGTTCCCGCTGCGCGCCCTGCGAGGCAGGATCCGTTTTGATCAGGTCTGGCGGGATGTCCTCGGGGCATCTAGTAGATTCAATGACTCTAGTGACAGCCTGACAGTCGAAAACCTTGTTCGCGAAGACCTTGACTAGCCAAGAAAGAGAGAGTGAACATCCACAATGGCCCGCTCGCCAAGGGTAGCCGTTCACCGTCAGAGTTGCATTAGAGCGAACACGGCGATTCATCATCGATCCGCCGAGCTAGACTGCTAGAGACAGAGGCCAAGAAGTCAGATTCGTAGTCGAAATATCGCGGAGGCCGAGACGAGTCTATACCGCAGAGTGAACTGGTTGCTCAATCTGGGATGATGCTACAAGAACGGTCTCATCCAAAGACGTGTGTGGCCCCTCTGCAATTTTAAACAATCAAGAGTGTTGTAAGGGTAGCCAGGGGACCAGATGGAGGGTAAAGACCACCGAGACCGAGAGAAGGATGCGGCGGCGGAGGAGGAGGAGGGGGACCAGCCAGTGATCTCCCGCATGGGTCGCACAAGCCAGGCCTTATTCATGGTTTGACGTGTGCGCGGGATCGACGAGCGGACCATGGTGATCAGCACAAAATATGCGAGTGAGCGAGGGCCGGCGGGCGGACGAACCACGGTAGTGGTGATGCATTAAAGGTTGCAGTGAAGAATCTCCGAAGGCTGTCGTGAGTTGACTGTCCGGGGGGAAGATGGGTCTGAGAGCTATAATAGATGCGACTCTGCTCTGCTATTCATCTGTCGGCACATGCGAGGGAGGCTCCCCAACGCTCCCCGTTCTGTGGTTGTCGTTATGTCATCGGGCCAAAGTTTGACAGGCGATGGGCCGAGAAGGGGGAGATGGAAGGCTGTAAGTCGAGAGGAAGAGAGTGATCCACAGTCGTCCCAAGTCTGCACGAAAGAAGCCTCCTGTAATTAGCCTTCGTGAAACCAGAGCAGAGGTGCCAGGTCCGGGGCGTTGGACGACATGACATCAGATGGAAGAATCGGGTGTGAGTGGGTGTCGTTCATGAGGGAAGAGGAAGGGAAAGAGGCGTGCGGTCAAACAATCAGGAGAGACCAGCTGCACGTGATCTGGGGTCTTTTTCGTGAAAACAATGAGAATCAATAGCCGTCTGGTACTAAGTGTGCGAGGGGTGAAGCCTGCAGGTATGGTAGGGGTGAAGTTGATGGAGGGTGGAAACACTATGAAAGTTGATTGGGAGGGTGGAGAATCCGCAGAGTCCAGAAGCCCTGGAATTGGAATCACTGGGAACATCTGGTCAGGGACAACATGAGAAGCCACGTTCTACGGATCAAAATCAGGTACCCGTTGGACATACTCCGTACTGCAGTACCTTAGGACATAGAGAAAGGGGAGTTGGGACGAGGCTGAGTCTTTCCCCTTTGGAAAATCAGCTGAAACAGGAACAACCAGGTCAGGGGCCTTCACCGTGTTTGGGATGAAGTTGGCGTGGATGCCACTGGAGAAAGGCGCTGGCATCTTCAAACGGCCAAGTGGGACGCAGCCGCAACATTATATAAGCAGAACTGTACCAATGCCCCTCCCGATTGGCTGTAATTCTCCGATGAGCACGGCGGCCAGGTCCGATTGATCCTCGACCCCCCGCGAAAATCATGCGCTATCGCTGCCATCCCTTCCTCCCCCGACCCCCGTTCCTCCCGATTGCCCCGATTCTACCCCCGGCCCTTCCTAGCGCCGCTTCCAACTCCATCCCATCCAACGTCCCCCTTCTTCTGGGCACTCAAAGTGAACCTCAACTTCCTCCACCAACTTGCCCCTGAGCCTCCATCCAACATCTCCTTTCGCCAAGCTGGTTCCCTGGACCGATCAAGCGAGCGATTCTTCTTTTCAAGCTTGATGCTATTGGATCAGAACATCGGACGGCGAGCAGAATTCGATATTGCCTGCTTCTATTCCTCCTCCCCATCCCCCTTACGGATAACACCCCTGAGCGAGAAGAAGTTTTTGCGCTCTGGAACCACTCCCTGAACCCGACTTCCCATCTCCTTTGCTCTGCCCACTGTTTCCATCACTCAACGCTGGGGTTTCCTTCCTTGTTTGGATGTTTAGAAATTCGAAATGTTGTCGTTTTGAGTGGGCCGAACAGACACGGCTCGGAGAAAAACGAAAGACGGCAGGACATAAACGGGCACTTGTAGATCACGAGATAACTAACGGGAGATCATTCTTGCTCCTGGACATTACGCACATCATCAAGAACAGTACGACATTATCAAGTGACGAAGATTTGGATCTACACATACCGTTGCATTCTTGAAAAACATCTCCTCATCTTCTCATGTTCCCATAAACTTAGTTATTGAGCTCCGCCCTTTCACCAACGCTTCTGCACAGAAGACGCGCACGCCTTAATAGTGTTAAGGTGTGATATAGGCTGTAACCTTCGGCCGAATCATCCTATTATGCACATCACCTCCGTCCAGAGCCCACAGACGTCGACGCCTAACCCCCGGCTATCCCACTCGCTATCCCCCGTCATCCCGGTATGGCATCACGGCCTTTCACATCGCTTCTTAGCAAACGTCCACCGCCGCCCAGCCCCGCTACCTACAAGACACTCCTCCCAGGCTGTCCAAGCATGGTGGTGATCCTCCACAGGGTAAATACTCCGCGGGCAAATACTCCATTCGCACCCCCCGGCCAAGAGCCGTCCTCCACTCCCCTCCACCCCGCGGGCCTGCCCCTCTCTTGGAATCGTAAACACCAGACGACGGTTAAGCTCATCCCCCTACCCTAGCCCCGCAGACAACCCACTCTTCGACCGAACGTCTCACGATGTCTAACCCAAAGCGATGGCGAAGCCGTACTACCGCCAGGCTAGCTCCAGTCTGGTTCAGGAGGCGTAGGTGAGGTGAGGTATCCGGACTGGATAACCCGATCTTTGGCAGTTCGAGAGCAACCCTGGTCCCCGGGCAGGAAGAGCAAGCATCCATCTGGACTAACATGGTCTTTTGGAAGGTCGAAGGCGGGAGGTAAGAGGCAAGAAAGAACGTTTAAAGAAGGCCTCGTTTCCCGTCTCTGGAACGGAATTCTTGTTTCTCTCCAGCCTCATCGCTCTGCATTCTTTGGTGATTCATTTGCCAGTTTCTTTCTTTTCGCTTCCTTCTTTTCCAACAGCATCCTGTCATTCTCTTCTCGGTGCTAGTCGCCCAGCTCCCTTGAAGGGCCTTGCTTCAGTCCATTCCTTCATCACCAACGATCCAAACGAAACCAAACACGAAATCCATCCAACTTGCAAACACTTTAGCAATCCGCTAGCTTCACGATCTTTTCAGCAGACAACATGTTGCTCAAGTCAGCCGCCCTCGTCTGCCTCCTGGCTGAGCTCGGTCTCGCGCGCCATCACCAGCACCCCAAGCGCCAGGTCGCACCCTCCCCGATCCTGTCGAGCATCAGCATCCCGCCCCCTCCCTCGACGGGAACTGGTGCTGCCGGCGCCGCTCCCGGTACTGGTGGTCCGACGGGCATCTTCCTCAACACCTCGATCCCCGTCGCCACCCCTCAGGTCACGACCCTCACCGAGGTAGCAACCGTCACCTCTACCCTCGAGAACAATGCCACCGTCACCGAGGTCATCACCACCGAGCGCACCGTTACCGCTTCCGCCCCCGCCGTCATCCAGCAGCCCCAGATCATCATCATCTCCCAGGTCACCTTCTTCCAGTTCATCTCCGCCCTCGGTGGCGCCCCTCCCGCCGTTCAGCAGGGTGAGCAGGGCGGCTTCGTCGTCGGCGGCCAGCAGTTTGGCCAGTTCCAGTCCGCCTGCAGCGCCGCCTGTGGTATGCAGTTCACCCAGTGCCAGAGTATCGCCGGACAGAACTTTGCCATCTCCCAGTGCCAGACCCAGCTTGTCAACTGCCAGAACGCCGCAAAGACCGCCACCGTCACCGTCTCCGTGCCCGTGACTGTCACCCAGACCGTCATTCTTCCGAGCGGCCCAGTCTCTGGAGGAAGCAGCCTGCCCTCTGCCACGCTCGAGAACGGCGGCTCCGTCATTGCCACCACCACTCTGCCCCCTGACTCTGGCGCCACCATCGGATCCGGAGGCGTCAGCTTCGTCACCGTCCCCGCTACCCCTGCTGCTCCTCCTTCCCAGACGCCCGCTGCCCCTGAGACCCAGGTCTTGACCACCACTCTCCCGGCCAACCCCGACTCGCCCTCCGGCTCCCCCATCGTCTCCGTGATCACCATCACCCGCCAGCCCGGTTCTGAGCCCTCTGCCACCGGCGGTGCCTCCGAGCAAGCCGGCTCCGTCGAGACCTCCGCAGTCGTTTCCACCCTTCCTCCCCAGTCCGAGGGCGGCGCCCCCGTCGTTTCCACCATCTACATCACCAAGACTGCCGGTGTTCCTGTTGCTTCCGGCACGGCTGTCAGCTCCGTCGACGCAATTGCCAGCGGCTCCGTCCAGACCTCTGCCGTCGTGTCGACCCTACCTCCCAAGTCCGAGGGCGGCGCACCCATCGTCTCGACCATCTACATCACTAGAACCGGCGGTGGCGATGTCCCTGCTGCTTCTGGTACCGCAGTCAGCTCCGTCGATGCCGTGGCTTCCTCCGCCGTCATCACCACTCTCCCTGCCCAGTCCGAGGGAGGTCAGCCCATCGTCTCGACGATCTACGTCACTGCCCAGCCTCCCGCTCCCTCCAACGAGCCCGGTGCCTCCGGACAGGGCGGCGAGGTCGTCACTTCTGCCATTGAGACCACCCTTCCTCCCCAGAGCGCCGGCGGCTCCGCCATCGTCAGCACCGTCTACGTGACTGCCACCGTGTCTGGAGGTGTCCCCGTCGCCTCCGGTACGGCCGTCAGCTCCGTCGATGCAGTCGCCAGCTCCTCTGCCGTCGTGACCACTCTGCCCGCCGAGTCCGAGGGAGGTCAGCCCATCGTCTCAACCATCTACGTCACCGCTCAACCCCCTCAGCCTACTGGCGGCAACGGCAACGAAGGCGGCGCGGCCTCAGAGCAGGGCGGCGAAGTCGTTACCTCGGCCGTCGAAACCACTCTCCCTCCCCAGAGCGCCGGCGGCTCCGCCATCATCAGCACAGTCTACGTGACCGCCACCGTCCCCGCGGCCTCGGCCTCCGCTTCCGCATCCATCTCCCGCCCAGCTGAGCCCCCCCGCCCCAACGAGCCCAAGACCTCCGTCATTACAATGACCCTCGCGCCTCCCTCCGGCTCCCCCGTCATCTCCCTTGTCACAGTCACTATCCAGCCCACCGCAGGCCCCTCGGGCTCCGGCTCACCCCCGGCCCAGACTGAGGTCGTCACCTCCGCCCTGACATCCACCATCCCCGCCGAGGGCACCACCCCGCCCCGCGTGACAACAGTCTACGTGACCGCCCAGCCTCCCGCCCCAACCTCCGCCCCCGCCCCTCCCCGCGTCGTCACAGTCACAGTCGGCTCCCTCACCGGCGTCGTCACAATCAGCGACGCAGCCCAGAGCTCCGCCTCCGGCACTACCATCGCCTCGGCTCTCCCCAGCGCCGGTGCGGGCGGTAACACCGGTGGCAACGGTGGAAGCGGCGGCAACGGAGGCAGCGTTGGCGGCGAGAGCGGCGGAAGCTGCCCTTCAGCCGCGCCCGTCACCGTCACCGTCAGCGCGTGCCCCACCGCTCCCGTCACCTCCGTCCTGACCCAGACCGTCTCGGTCGTGCCCACGTCCACCCCGGCTGCCGTCAAGCGCGCCGAGGAGGGCAAGCGCGACGCCGTCTACCACCCCCGCCGCCACGGCCACGCCTTTGGCTTCTGGTAAACAGAACGCGGGTGGTGGTAAGTTTGAGTGAGAAGAAGAAGACGAGGAAGGGAATAGCTGTGGCGGTTGAACAGAAAGATGAAGCCTGGCAGGAACGCTAGCCGCTTGTCGAGTATGATTAACCCTGGCACACATTCCTTCCTCTTCTCTGATTTCCTCTCACTCTCAAAACGACATCATGGGATATCAAGTCAAACCAACAAAAAAAGATGACATTGAGAAAAAAATCAACAAAAAAAGAATGGGAATGGCAAAAAAGGGTTCGTTCTGCACATGATACAGATGAGATCGATTGCCTCTTGGCAGACAGCTGTGCTGGGTTCTGGCCGGAGCAAACGGAAACGCAAAGATTGTTGGGACGATTTTGGGTGAAAAGGGTTCATGGATTGGAGCATCATTCTTCTTTGGGGTTTTGTGTCTTTTCTTCTTCTTTTTCTTGCATTGTACATTGTTTCTGTCCGTTTCTAGAGTAGATAGGGCCAGGTCCCAATAACGGTCGATATCCCACGAATGTCAAAAGGATGCCACAACACTCCCGTTCCAAAGTTCTGCCATGCTGTGTGATGCGAATGCAGATGGCCATCTTTCCCCCAAAATGCGAGTAATCGTGCTGCACTACTCGTCTGATCCGCCTTCAATTGGATCCCCGTCATAATTAGGTAGCCCTCGGATGTTGGCACGTCCATCCTCGGCCTTCTTCTTTCTCGATCTGCCCTTGGGCCTACCCCTTTTCTTGGAAACTTCATTCACGCTCAGGGGCAAAACTGGTCTAGGGTCTCGGCTTGATGAGCAGGCTAGTCTCCCGACAAAGGTTTTTGGCTTGGCAAACCTTTGCCCCACGTTTTCGCTTAAGTCAGAGTTGGATGGTTGTGCAATCATTGACATAGAGTCCGTTATCTGCGTGAGAGCAACTTCAGATGTCAGAGACTCTGTTCCGGATTGGGGTATGATTGAGTCCGAATCTTCTGCTATAAAGGAGCCTGCGATGTTTGTGTCAGTGGTTTGATATTGGCTATGCTCTAATTCACAGTCTACGAGATCTCCACGGATAGCCATGTCTGTCTGGCCAGCCTTTAGAGAAGATCCCAGCGATGCCGGATTCAGAGCGCCCTTATCTTGGTGTTGAAGCATCTTGTGTGGTGCAAGTTCTTTGGAGGCAAAGGCCGAGATGGGAACCACAGAAGGTTGGTAGTAGTCGCCAGCGGAGCTGCTCGATGGCCGTAAGTCTCGTGCAGCTTCCTTGAGCGACTCTTTGAAAGCAATGTCTTCATCTTTTTCGACGTCTTCGCCGAATATGAAGCTCATCCACTCTGTATCCATGTCTACTTTATCTGAGCCTGGCACCGATATAGCATTTCCGGCATCTGTATCTAGTGTCTGAGGAAGGAAAATTGAGGTTTCGACTTCCTCATTTTCTTCATCGGTAGGCCTCAAGTTTTGCTCACTTGGTTCTCGCTTGTTCAGAGTTGGTTTATCCTCGCTATCCGACTCAAACATGGGCGGTAGCTGTCGAGGCTGCGCATAGTGGCCATCGTCTGAGCAGGATTCTGCATGCGCGAGGGATGTGTCCTCGGAAAGTCCCTCTTTATCGTTGTAAAGGTCACCTCTCGGTCGACCAGCTGATAGAGTGGATGATATGATCGGCAGCAGAGGTGATGAGGATCGCATCTTCTCTGCAGTGGCTCTTGGTTGGCCATCATTCTTGATAGAGGTGCCAAAGCGCTTGTACTGGCCAGTTTCCATACTGTCCTGCGCCCTGTCATCCAAAGAAAAGTCCGTAAATGTGCTCATGGGGGGGTGGTCGAATCTCGAACCATGGACTACCGAGCTGCTTGAAATGAGGATGTTGCTGACTCCGGGACTGATCTTGACGATCTTGCGACTTGCACTAGAATCTTTCTCGAATGGGCTTTTTGTTTGATCTTCATGAGACTCGATCATCTTTTGCCATCGCTGGTTCTCACTGCATTCCGATGGCGCAACTTCTTGCACTGGGTTGCGACCGACCTGACCAATGGTGCTCCCAAACATTTCGGACGCTGGTATCCCTGATCTCTCAAGCATTACAAGCTGGCTCAGTCGTCGAGGCACAGGATGATGTACCCTGGATGGAGACGATTCAACAAGTAATGACCGACCTTCCTTTTGTAAACGCTCAAGTCGGGTTGGGTACCTATATTCTTTGAGCGACATCGAGGCGCGCGGAGGATTTCCGCGGCATGCAGCACTCTGTCCATGCTTTCGCTGTGTCGAAGATATTGTTTCGGACACTGGCAAAGCTCTATGGCCTCGCAACCCTGGAGGACCATAATCCTGCGCAGAGATTTGAGACGAGGTTTGGACAAAGTATTCCGACTGTCGTAAGCTTTTCGACTGGGCCGCAGTTCTGGGAAGACGATTCTGAGAGCTTTTTGCCGTGATCTGACTTCCTCCGCTGTATCGAATATCCTCACTGCCGATTCTGATCCGGACGTCTTTGTCTCCGCCTTGCGTGCTAATGTAGCTTGTAGCTTTGCCTTGTAGTGGTCTCCTTCCATTTCCGTTCTGCTCCCAGAAGAAGCCAGATTGACCCTCAGGATGCTTGTTGCGAAAGCCCCAGATCTGGCGTCCTTTTGAGCTGCTAGCTCCCGAGAAATGCAGAGGTAGCGACTTTTGGACATTGATCCCAGCCCAGTCGCCTTTTTGTAGCAAACGGTGTCTCTTCGCATCCAAGAGCTCAGGGTCATAGTCAGGAAGCTTTCGTTTCTTGGTAGCATGCTGTGAGCGAGGCTCTTGTAGAATGCCGTGGTCTACTGCGACTAGAGGTTCCTTCCGCACATGCTGCCCTGGCGACATCAACAGACGGTGATCCTGAGGAACATTGTGCTGGTTCTTCTGGTCGCATTGGCGGTGCTGGCTGTGCCGGTGTTGCTGATGCTGCTGGTGTTGCTGGTGCTGTTGGAAGTGCGGCGAATTTTGTGATGGAACTGTAGAGAGGCGCTTCGTAGGATATGTCGAAGAATTGGCCTGCTGAGAGAAAAAGGAAAAAGAGTCGAAGCCGGGCTTGGGAGGACCGTGAAGCCCCGAGCGAGCTTTTGCGAAGTACTGTTTTTGTTTAGCGATCTCCGGTTTCCAGCCCTTCCCTCGAGAATGTCGAGCCAAAGCTCCCTCAGTCCAGTTCATGGTATGAGCACGGTGGGAGAAGATGGGTTGCTGGCGTCAGTGAGGGATGAAGAGTTGATTCGTATAGCAGGCAAACGAAGCCAGAAATCACAGCATGAAGCAAAGCTGTTTGGTGCAGCCCTCCGTTCTTCCAATCGAGATATCTTAGGTTGTTCAAAATCATCCTCGGACAAACCCAAGGTAGCTCTAACAGGCAAGCGCGATTTCCTAAATTGAAATATTCTATATTGCTCCTTCCTAAGCCGATTGTACCTAGGTATACCCATATCATGTCATTTTCGTTTGTTGCTCCTGCGTGGAAAAATGCAGAAAATGCTCCTGCTTGCAAAGAAGTAGAAAGGGCAACAGCGAGCAAAGCAAGATAGGAAGTCGCGATTGCTGTTGCAGTTGCCGCCTCAACGAATGCAAAACGACCCCTATTTTCTGGTACAGTACGAATGTAGTGATTCTCACCATCTGTGCACTGGCGCAAATCCACTCTTTCCCACCCTATCCTGCAGGCGGAAGAATTTAAGAAAGCAGACGGGAAGGAAGGGCACACCCACTCGGTGCTTTCCATTGTTGGGTCTGGGCAGCCAAGGCTCAAGCAGTCTCGTTGGATGCGGCGCCTCGCCTTGCCCTGCGCTTTCAGGCACGCCGCACATTGCGGGCGCGCTGTGACACATCAAAGTCATCCTCCACCCTCCACTTGGTCCCTTGGATCGTGGATATCCTCCATGCAAGTTCCAGAACGCCCTCCCGTCTTATCTCCCACCGCTTGGCCCGGAACGATACTCCGAAAATAACCACTGACCGCCGTCGGCCGAACACGAGTCTGACTCAACCCGGCTCTGGCAACAGTGTCGACTGCGCCCTGCTGTGGGCTCGTGTCGCGTCGCCATGCACACACGTCCTCGGCCTCTCCATGTGGCGCTTGCCAGTACCAAGACGCACTCCGTACCCCCCTGAGGAATACGCAACTGGTCCCAGAAGAACCGACTGGCTTGTGAGAAAGACACTCCCGGTTCCCGATTCCGGTTCCCCACGTCGTAGTCGAAATTGAGGTTCAGGCCCAGCCCGACACTTGTCGTGGCCGACGTCACGGAAGCGGTCTTTGTCTCCCGGCCCTGCTTTTTCGGCTGCCTCTTGCAGTCTCCAAGATCTCCTGAAAGACATCGCACCGGAACCCATGATGGTATCGCCGCCATTCTGGGTCGGCTTCCCCTAATCGACCATGCCAAAGACGTCATTTTTGACCTCGTGAGACTCTCGATCGGGGGCCCTGACATGCCTCGCCCAGGTGCCCCGGCAGTGTTCAGCCAAGTCCCGATCGTGGCGGGTGGCAGCCGACCAATGAGAGAATTACTGTGTGTCAACGCCGACCACTCAGCGACGAGACCGGCGAATTCTCGTTGTTCGTAGAGTTCGGACGATGGGAAATGACGGCTTTTCGCATGCGATTGAAGGGGAAAAAGTCGACGACGAAAACCAGCGAGATCGTGGTTGAAAACGAGAGAGGGTTGGACTTCGCAGGCGGTCGGTCGAGATGGGTCTGGTCCATGGACTGCCGGTGTGGGATGCGGACATCGAATGTCGTCGGAGCAGCCGACCGCAAAAGTCTTGGGCCGTGGTGGTGCTGCCGTGCCTCCTTTGCCGGCCGTTGCCGCTGCTCCTCTTTGCCCGGTCTCGGCGACCTGGTAGACGAGCCGATTCTGCAGAGTCCTGGTCAATTAACGAGAGGAACACCACACAACCGATTCATCCACACTCCTCCCCCATCCCCGCCGGGCCGGCGCCCAAACCCAACATGGCTGCTCCATCCACATTTTCCAGAATCCAACATTGCGGCACTAGCCCTTGGGTTGGGACCCAAACAGCAATTGTCCGCCGTGGACGGGGTACCTCTGACTGCACCTCATGTTCGCAGCGTCCCCATGTCACTGCCGCGGCTCTCCACCGAGTAAGCTTGTCAGCTGTCACACACTTCACCGAGGTCAACGACACCCCGTGAAGTTACACATCGTTGCCCGTCAACTGGAGTCGCGAATGGCAAGAGAGGGAAAGGTGCTTAGCAGTCCAGGGCACTATGATAGCTGAGGAGCTCCTCAAGAGATTAATGCCAGTCTTTAAGGAGACCTTGGAACCGACACGGCTCCTGAGAGAATTCAATTATTCTGCACTTGCGCTTCGACCAATCAGCGCCCAACGATAAGCCCTCAATGCAAAATGCACCATCCCCCACTAGCGTCCCACACTTGATGCTTTGGAGACACCCGAGATGGAGGTCTCCTGCAGGTCACATCTGGAGATCAAGTTCCATAATGGAATCATCAAAGTTTTACCTGAAGTTTGTCTAGGAGCGGCAATTGTTTCCCAGAATACATTCAGCATACAGCCTGAATCAACCGTGGTGGACGAGTGAGATGTTGGGACGGACTATCCATATGGATATGTTGAGGGGTAATCGTGTATCCGGCGATGGGACGGAGGTACCGCAGTCCTACGAATACCCTGCCGAGAGCAAAAATTGCGGGGGAGCCCGACTTTGATACGCCGTATCATAATCAGAAGAAGAATGTGTGTGATATGGCCGACTGGAGACCGACTGAACATGCGACGAATGGACAGCATGCCGTTCCTCCAGCTACGTCTTACGGGAGGGGCCATGGACAAGGAAGAAGCAGAGAATCCAGCCTTCTTCTCGCGGTCCACTCCAGCTTTGTGCATCCTGCAGTGTCCAAGACGTTTGGGCTGCATATCAGCCAGATATTCACTCAGGTCTTGCAGGGACGGGTCACGGCAGGCCATGTGGATTGGGTATCCCTCCGAAGATAGCTTCGACATGGTCGATTCGTGGAGCAAAAGCTTGGGGGTTCCTTGGGGGTTCGCTGACGAAAACACCATCGAATATTGGCCGGAAGGACAAGTCGACTAGTGATTCCGAAGGTTTGGGCTCAGCAAGATGACCATCCCGCTGTCGGAGAGAAGTTGCGATATGGGGTTTCCCCCGAACTCCCCCAAATGACTCGGGCCTGGTTGTAAACACACCGTCGCTCACAGGATACCGACAAGAAGCCATCGCACTGACCACAGATCTGACCTTTGGAGCGCATCTGGTCCAGAGCAACAACACACCCCACCTTTTGCCCCTCGCCGCCGCATTATGGGTCGACAGGCTCGATAGCCTTGTGGTGGGATATGTGATGGCTTTATCTGGGACCAGTCCAACTTGGGAGTCACGATGACACAGAGGTACAGATACCTTGGAGAATGAATAAGGGTCGCCGGGATATACCCCCACCAAGGGGTTACAGACTCGTACAAGGAGACGCACAAAGACCAAGACAATCAACGTTGAGGGCTGTCAAGATATTGCTACCGGGAGGCGGGCAAAATTTTCATAAGACAACCATCTGCACGACGTAGGCGGAAGCTATGCCAACGACAGGACGAAGGAAGCAACTCCTCGAGGATGGGTGTCTTTCCTGCGCCGCGGGCAAGCATAGCCATGGCAAGGATTGGAGATTGATGATGATAGGGGAATTAGCGCAAGTGCGCGCGTCGCCGTGCCGCGACGAGTTGCGCCGGCGGAACCTGAAGAGATTTGTGCGATGGAAAGGACGTTACGATTCTGGGGCCGGTGAGGGTGTGAGACTCTGAGTGGCTGGTGCGCGGTGTATCGTCATCCTGGGACCTAGGGTCCTTTGGCGGGGAAACTGGGAAAGTCGACTCGAGGGAAAGGTCGTCAAGCTGACGAGATTTTGGAAAGTTGAGGTACCTGACGACACCCCCCAAAGCTGACCGGAAGAGTTCAGTGCCATCCCAAGGAAATTCCGCGCCAGGAATATGCACGCTGTCGCAATATGGCCATGCGATCGTCGGCGTGGAACCCGAGCAACCAAGTTGCAAGCGACGCTACTTTACTTCGGGGTATTCAGAACCGCCCAGCAAGCCATTCGCGGAGCCCGCACCGGTTCTAGGAGGCGCTCTAGTTAGGTAGGCCCGCGGGATTTACGACGACGAGAGTTTATTGGAATTCAACGCAGTCTCCTTTCCGTTCTGGAAGCGAGATTCAGACGAAACGCGGCCTTACGAAAAATCGACTGGCCGCCTACTCATCAGCGGCCGTTTTTGGGCATCAGAGTTCCAGGACCCTTTTATCGAAAGCGGTCTGGAACGGGACCTACTCTAAGACCTGGAATATCTCTCCTTGGGCTTCCGGCCTGTCTCCGAAAGGCGGATGCCACAGCCACAGCCACCGTGAGCAGCGCTACAGACACTGACAGCGACAATAGTGTAGGTACTCTGTAAGACTGTGCCTCAAGGATAAGAGGAGCGGCGCCAGCGACCCGACAGCGGCGGCGGGCGACAGTGCACACGAGCACCCCAAAGATCCAAGGATAGAAACAGCGGACAGCGGACCGAAGGACGTGGGCCTCGTAAATGACATGTATCGGTACGTGCCCCGCGTTGTGGCACGGTGGCTCCTGTGGGTGAGAGGTACCTGCTTGGTCCTTGAATCGCCAGTGACGATACCTTGCTCTATCTCTGGCTGGGTCTTTACAGTCCGGTTTGCCGCACCCGTTTATTACTCGGTATACCTGCAATTTTTCTTGTTGTCTGTAGCCTGTACGAAACCTGGATACAAAGTAGCGATTTCTCGAGGTGGTCATTGTTGGGTCGGTGGTCGCAGCTGCAGCAGCTAGTCGCAGATACTGCCGCAAGGGCGGTGCCGGGCGGCCTCTGAGTGGCTCGTCAACGGGCTACTGGGCGCACGTCGAAGTCATCGTCACACATTTTGATCAGTGATTTTCATACTTATCAGTCTTGGAGACTAGGGTTGACAGAACAAAACCACCCAAGTGGAAGCGGAAGAGGAGTTTCCCAGGGGCCATTTACGGAGAAGAGGAAGTTGACGATACCTCTAGAGGTGAAAGGTCCGCCCGTCGCATTTCCGTTTCCCACGGAGACTTGATGCCGGTGGTAGAGGACCGCGGGGCCGTAGCCAGGCAGTAGGGATACTTGAGAGACGTCTGATAGTGGCAGACGGGAGTGGTGGTGCAGCACAGAAAGGCAGGTTAAAGGGCGGGAAATGTGTGGGTGAAGAGGGTGTTCTGGGTTCGGGCAAAGTACCTGGACATTGTCGTCGTGGGACGCTGGGAACCGAATCAGAATTGGCATGTATCTGTGGTCCCCCAAACTCTGGGCTGGCGGACGAATGGGAGAGCACATGTTTCCGGGGCCACACCCCACCAGCCCACCCCTCTCACCCCACCGCAATCGATACCAGTAGCCAGAACCAGCCATACCCCTGCCGCCGTCATGGGCAGGCACTGGCAGGCCTTATCTTGGGCTGAAGGACCAAAGAGGGACCCTCGAGAGACCTCGAGAGACCTAGACAAGAGCCAAAAGTTACGGTTCTGTACCGGTTGTACATGAGCTTTCCTCGCCAACAGGGCCGGTCGTCTGCGAAACATCTGAGGTATCTCGACGGTACCTTGCAGATTGCTGGCAGCACCAGCAAAAAATAGAGCATCGAGCGAACTGGACTGCCTCTTTCTCACTCAAATCTGTCTCTCCCACCAGCGCCCGCGCCTGCCTTCCTTGCCGGACGACAGACAGAGGAAAACATAAAACCCTCAACCGCCCGCTTCGACTGCTCTTATCGTACCTGCTCTTTACTTTTCCACATCCTATCCCTCTATTCCTCCCGTTATAGTCCTATAGATCATTTGATCTCTACTGCTCGAACCTTTTCCTGATCTCCAAATTGGACCTTGTTCTTTTTCCCGTTTTTATCACATTACACACACAACCGCAAAAATGGTAAGTCCCAAACTCTGCCCCACCACGTCATACTACTCCCATCGCGACCTGAGTGCTGGCGTTTTGCTGTTCTCTCGAGTCACGATGCTGGATACCCAAAATCGAAGGAAGAAGAAGAGGATGATCACAGTTACTAACACGTCTTTTCTCTCCAGGCGACAGAAGCTGCCTTCACCTCCAGGCCCGAGACCGTGAGATTACACCAACATACCCGGTGCTGAGCTTGGCGTAGCTGGAGTTCACTTCGAGCCGTCAGCTTTGCGCAAATCGAATAAGCAATCATGCTGACCCATCGAATAGTTGGCCAAGTACCTCAAGCTTGACCAGAAGGGCTCAATTATGGCCGAGTACATCTGGATCGACGCTGATGGCGAGACCCGTTCCAAGTCGAGGGTACGTTCACACAACAACCACCTTGTCTCTCTTATTCCCTCCTTTGGCTTTTTCATATTTTCCCCGGGCCCTTCGTGGTGCTCCAGACGCTCTAGCCCGCTATTCCACCGGAAAATGTCACTCACCCAGCCCTTTCCTGTTACGATGCGACACAGTTTGAGATGGCTCATGCCTTCACTCTGACATCTGTGTCGACGGTTGCATCAACGGAAAAGCTGGGGCAGCGGGTCGTCTTGCTCTGGATTCATCCCCTACGGGATGTCTCCGACTTCCGGCTGGGAATAGCGGGCAAAAAGCTGTGGGCGGGTGAGCAAGCGGCAGCAGATGCGGCGGCGACATGCACTGGGGCTTGGCGGGGGTCAAAACACACACCACCTGCCCCTCCAGTGCGCATTTCTGGTGGTGGGTGGTACGTACCTGTTCCTGCTGCTTTGGTCTTGGTCTCTTCTTTCGAGGGCCACGGCCGGACTGGCTGAAAGGATTCGATCACGACTCGATCCTGCAAGGAACCCCACCCCACGTCCGCCTGGCTCCAAGTCTTTTTTTGCCTTGCCTCCAGCTGCAGGGTTGAACGCCGCAGCTCGGGTATTGGAGGTCTTGCGAGTTGCTGCCGCATCATCAGTCCCCCCCCCCTTTTGCCCGTCGGCGCGTCTTCGGTGAACCGGTTGGCCAGCCGCCGGCCGAGGGTCGTTACTGTTCTCCACGCAATGCCCACGATCTCCAATGGGGCCACTGGGGGTAGCTCCGCCTGGCATCGTCAGCCTGACGGCAAGGCGCGGCGCATGATGTCAGCCTTGATAGCCAAGATGGCTCACGAGTTCGCCCGCGCATACCTCTATTCGCAGTTGCATCATAGCGCCATCTACCATCATCACGTAGCTAACAAATTTGCCTCCATAGACTCTCAAGGAGAAGGAGTACACCCCCGAGGACCTTCCTATGTGGAACTTTGATGGTTCCTCCACCAACCAGGCTCCCGGCGACAACTCTGATGTCTACCTGAAGCCCGTTGCTGTCTTCCCCGACCCATTCCGTGGATCTCCCAACATCCTCGTCCTCTCCGAGTGCTGGAACGCCGATGGCACCCCCAACAAGTACAACTACAGACATGAGTGCGCCAAGTTGATGGAGGCTCACGCCGCTCACGAGCCCTGGTTCGGTCTCGAGCAGGAGTACACTCTGCTCGACCTCAGCAACCGCCCCTTCGGCTGGCCCGCTAACGGCTTCCCTGCTCCCCAGGGCCCCTACTACTGCGGTGTTGGTGCCGGCAAGGTCGTCCAGCGCGACATCGTTGACGCCCACTACAAGGCCTGCCTGTACTCTGGCGTCAAGATCTCTGGTACCAACGCCGAGGTCATGCCCGCCCAGTGGGAGTTCCAGGTCGGTCCCTGCACCGGCATTGAGATGGGTGACCACCTCTGGCTTGCTCGCTTCCTCCTGGCCCGCATTGCCGAGGAGTTCGGCGCCAAGGTCTCCGTTGAGCCGAAGCCCATCCCCGGTGACTGGAACGGTGCCGGTCTCCACTCTAACTTCTCCTCTAAGGAGATGCGTGTTGAGGGTGGCATGAAGCACATCGAGGCTGCCATCAAGAAGCTTGAGGGTCGTCACAAGGAGCACATTGCCGTCTACGGTGAGGGTAACGAGAAGCGTCTCACTGGCCGCCACGAGACCGGCTCCATCGATTCGTTCTCTTACGGAGTTGCCAACCGTGGTGCTTCCATCCGTATCCCCAGAGAGTGCGCCCAGAAGGGCTACGGCTACTTCGAGGATCGCCGCCCCGCCTCAAATGCCGACCCCTACAGAATTACTGGTACGTTAACACTCCTATAACAACTGCACATCGCTACAGCATGCTAATTCCCCTCGTAGGTATTCTGATGGAGACTATTTACGGTTCTGCCGAGTAAAGGGGAGATGGAAAAAGAGAGGATAGTATACCCTAGTTCAAGCGACGACAAGTCGTATTGAATATGCTTTTATCAGCGTGTCAAATAGATCAGACAAGGTCATTACGGGTCAATGAGGATTCAAACAAGGTTCAAACAAACAAAAAAAAAAACACACATTGCCATACTCTTCTGCAAAGACAAATGTGAAGATCCATTGTTGAATTACAACTACCGCAAGACGTCATTCAAGCTATGCACAGAGGACTTACGGAGGATAGCTGAAACACGCTGCTCCCCTCCGTTTTCGCAGTCCTTACATTACCACCCCTCACAGTCTCAGCCCCCCCCCCCCCAATCACTGCCGTTGACACCGTTTGCCCGCAGTCGGCTTTTCGTTTCCTGTTTTGGACATTTGTTGGTTTTGGCCAAGCCTTTTTGCTGATTTGGGTGAACATAGCCCCGGGGAAACACTTTGAGTCTGTCTATGCTTAGAGTTTGATGAGGAATGGCAGGGTGGTAAGGAAGGTATCCTGAGAGTCCAGGGACCCTAAGTATAGGTCAGGTTAGGTCAGGTAAGAATTACAGGGCTATACACTAGAGGGGAAAGGGCCCGGTTTTTTTATCAAAAAAAAAAGAGTTTTCTTTCTTTCTTGTAAAGGCCCAGCGTCTTATTCCCATCAGACGAAAGGCGTCACTTTTGTCTTGAGAAAGACACAAAGCCATTCGTTGTTAAGAGATTAATACACCGGTGATGAGGGACAAAAGCAGGTGAATGAAGTCAGGCTCTAAGTCGCTCCGCTGACTAGGTACCTAGGTAACGTAGATTTGACGTGTCTCTTCATCACTACTGGAGCCCCTTGTCTAGCAATGCTTATAATGTTGGAGTTTAGGTTCGATTTGGAGGCGGTGAGGGAGTAAGACACCGACATCCCCCCATCCCTCCTCTGCCGGCTCGGAGAGGTGAAAGTTTTTCCATGATACATGGGGTGAGTTGGATGGACGGGATGTCGGCAGTGCTTGTCATGGGGTCAGCCTTGACTTTTTTCTGAAGCTGATGCAGGTGTAGATGCAGATGCAGCCTCGGAGGTTGAGGTCGGAAAATCCGGGTGATGTACAATTGCCGATGCGGTGTGTTATTTCTGTTTCCTTGCGTGTTGGCTCGGGAAAGTAGATTGGGGGACTGTTTGATGGATGGGATTGCGCGGCGATGAGAGTATGCTTTTTTGATGGGATGAGGGTTTACTGAGTATAGATGTGCTACGTTACGGGCAGCCGGGACGAAAGGGGATCGTGTCGGGGTAGAAGGCCCGCAGTGGTCTACGTGTGGACATGTACCTTTGCGTGCCCTGTGATGTGTTGGTCAAGAGTCTTAGATGGAGACCCTGAAGCAAGATATGATGGGTGTGAGATTTGGCGATGGTTGAATTGATGATTGCTATCCGTACCTTACTGAACCCAGCTACATTGGATCAGCCATGCCAAATGGCGTTGAAATGATGACAGAGTGTCTGCAATTCATCTCGACGTACTGAGCTGTCGCGCCCCGAAGTCTTCATTCAGGTCAGATGTTTCAGTGAAGCAGAGCTCACTCTCAATTTCTGATTTCAAGAGCTCTCCATAGTATCATCTAAAAGGTGGCATGGTGAGCTTTCCGGTGCGTTCGGGTCAGTTGAAGTTCCAAAAGCTTTCAGGTCCCGGCCCCGCGCCTTATCTTATCGTACATGTGGGGTATCCGCTAATCTCTAACAGGACTAGCCGCTAAGAAATTCTCAATTGAGAATCTTTTTTTTTGCCTATCAGCATTTTCAACTCCAAAAAAATACTACCAACGTCTATCACGACGATACCCTCACATTTTGCGCTTCACCGCAACACCCAGCTCTACCACGCCAGCGAGCAAATTTTTGCACCTCCTCCAACCACACCACCTAAGGGCACAAACGGCCTACACAATCATATCACAATGGCAGCTACCGTGGGACCCCTCCCGCAGGTGAAGCTGCCCTCGGGCCCGTCCCCCGTGACGGCCGAGCAGCGCTACTGGAAGTCCTTCAAGAACCAGCTCCAGATCCCCTCGCCGACCTCGTACCCAATCACCCACATCTCGTCGACCTCCTCCGATGGCCTCTTCGCCGTCACCACCGGCACCCGTGTCCAGCTCTACTCCTCCCGCACCCGCAAGCTCGAAAAGACAATCACCCGCTTCGCCGACGTCGCCCGCTCCGGCTCCCTGCGCCGCGACGGCCGCGTCCTCGTCGCCGCCGAAGATACAGGCCGCATGCAGGTTTTCGACACCCACTCCCGCTCCATCCTCAAGACGTGGACGAAGCACCGCCAGCCCGTCTGGGCCACGCGCTTCTCGGGCTCCCAGCCCACCACCTTGCTCTCCGCCTCCGACGACAAGACGGTCCGCCTCTGGGACCTCACGGCCAACGACCCGCTCAACACCTTCGTGGGACACTCCGACTACGTCCGCTGCGCAGAGTTCTTCCCGGCCACCTCCCCGTCGGGCGCCGGCAACGTCATCGTCTCGGGCTCCTACGACTCTACCGTCAAGATCTGGGACCCGAGAATAGGCTCCAACGCCGCCGTCATGACCTTCAAGCACGCCGCCCCCGTCGAGTCCGTCCTTCCCCTCTCCTCCGGAACCACCCTCCTCGCCGCCTCGGGCCCCCAGGTCTCCGTCCTCGACCTCGTTGCCGCCCGCCCCATCCACCAGATCGCCAACCACCAAAAGACCGTCACTTCCCTCAGCCTCGCCTCCAACGGCACCCGCCTCGTCACCGGCGGCCTCGACGGCCACGTAAAGGTCTTCGAGACCACCGGTTGGAACGTCGTCTCCTCGACAAAGTACCCCTCCCCCATCCTCTCCCTCCGCGTCCTCCCGGCCTCCGATGCGCTCGACAGCGCGGACCGCCACCTCGTCGTGGGCATGCAATCCGGCGTCCTCTCCATCCGCACCCGCCTCACGGGCCCCGAAGCCACCCGTCAAAAGGAGCGCGACCGCGAAATGGCCGCCCTCCTCGCCGGCACCCTCGACGAGCACGACAAGGCCGCCAAGAGCAAGAAGCGCAAAGCCTCGGCCATGCGCCGCCTTGAGAGCCTGGGCGAGGGCCAGGCCGAGGTTATCGTCGCGCAGGACGCGCGCACCAGCGCGCCCAAGGAGAAGGCGTGGGAGAAGGCCCTGCGCCACGGGCGGTACGCTAGTGCGCTGGACCAGGCGCTCGATCCGCGCGGGAAAGATCACTCGCCGCTCGGCGTTCTGACGCTGCTTCTTGCGCTGCGGCACCGGTCTGCTGTGCGGGATGCGCTTGAGGGGCGCGATGAGAGGACGGTACAGCCGGTGCTCAAGTGGACGTGCGATCACATTATCGATCCGCGGTACGTGAGCATTTGCGTTGAGGTCGGCATGGTGCTCGTGGAGCTGTATGCGCAGTATGCTGGTGACAGTGCCGAGCTGTTTGAGGGGTTCAAGGCTCTCAAGAGGAAGGTCACGAATGAGGTTGATCGCGCGCAGACGGCGTCTTCTGTGGGCGGTATGGTGGAGAGTTTGATTCTGGGCTCTGCTTGAGAGAGACTGAGGAAGGAAGTTGTTTGTACATGACATTTGTGATTTTCTCTTTGACTCTTTGATGGGTGGTTGGGTGGGTTTATACCCTTTGTCTTTCGAGTTTCACATGGCATCTAGGGATATTTGTCCAAGTCGCGAGAGGCTTGAGTGCCGGACAATTGACCTCGATTTGATGGGCTCTTGTGGAGTTAGAGAAGATGGTTGAAACAACAAGACATGCCGAGAAGCAAGGGCAGCTACGACTACGGCGTGAGAGACTTCGTCGTCGTGTGTATGCCAGAGAGGCAGAAGGCTAGGGGAGAGGGGCAGTGGAAGAAGACATTCAAAAAGGTGGAAAGGGTCGCATTATCTGGCTCCGTCTGAAGAGATACAGGACGCCGATGTGGATAAGGACTGGATCATCTTGGTCAACTTAATGCATTGCGATGGCGTTGGGGATCCGAAAAAAAAGGAGAAGGGAATTCAAAAGGAAGACAATTGTGTGATATAGAATGACTACACAAGACCTGATTTTCATGAGTTACTGTTTGCTTGCCCCTACGGGCGATCTGCACATTTGCAAAAGATTACGCAAGCTGAGCACAATGTTGTGATGGCATCTTGGCATCGGGCAAGGAGAGTCTCGCATATCGAATACCAGCGGTGACGGATTTTCTCTCGCATTCGAGCCCATCATCTCTGCTCTTGGGCCGGTCCAGGAGCGATATCGAAGATAAGAAAGGAGTGAGGCGAGAACCTTGCGTCGTCCTAACCTAGAATTTTGCGCACTGGACCTCTAAACCTGCCGAAGATAGCTGTTTTGATGGCTCAAAGAGGGCTCCGGGAGAACTTGCTGCGTAGAATCACGCGGTATCTGCTTCGTTACTATTTTGCCACGGGGAGATCTGGTGTCCTAAACCGAAATCAAATGGTGCGGATGCTTTGGTTTCACCTAGTCGTGCGCAGCTTCGGGCGAAGCCGTGTTCTAGGCCAAGTGATGAAGCAAAGTTGAAAAAGTCAAGATAGTACTGGGCAGATAAGACATGGAAAACCACATGAGCAGTTTAATTTTATCGATGCTCTGCTCACACCGACAGCTTCAATGTTTATGTAACAAACACTAGAGATCTAGCCACTGTGCGTGGAGAGCTGAATTGGTTGGGAGACAAAGCATAGGCAGATATAGACTTCGATTGTTGAAGAAGCTATGAAATCATGAAATTCATCGATCCAATCACCAACACTCCCGAAAACCATCAACTACACTTTCTCAGTCTTTCATGAATCGTACCGACCTGCGGGTAGCTGGTGTGTCGCGAGTCGCACGTGGCGTCAACCGCGCCCGTCAAGCTGTTTTGAGTTCATCTCTTCCTCCATCTTCTTCCTCTTTGTGCCTCTGTCCCGAGAGGGGAAGTTTCCGAGAGAAGTGTTTTCCAAGAACTACTAGCTCAATCCATCAATTTTGACTTGGGTGATCCCGCACCGTTCGCTGATAAGTTCGCTTCCCATGGATACCTCAAGTCACAACACTTCGATTAGAATGGGGAGGGGGTTGAACCTTCAAAGCATTCACGTGCCTTCCACTCCTAGGTTTTTGTCAGGCCCAAAGTGAAAGCAAACTTGTAGAGAGCGGGAGTGCCCCATTTAATATGTGACTTGGAATACCCTTCTTTCTCATCTCTTAACCTGGCGATGTTCGATACCACCTAATCTCTCGCCCGTGCGAGATGCCAGATGCCACGACCCCCAGGCTCTAGGCTACCGATCACTACATGAATGTAACGACGACGCACCCGAATACGGGCAGACCACAAGCTTCTTCGCCAACCCAGTTCTCCTGGGCGGGATATTGTGCAAGGCGCTACCAGTTACAGCAGCAAATATGTCGAGCTCGTCGCTAGTGCCATTACCGAACTCCGTCGGTATGCCCAACACGATCAACGCCACATTTGATGCAACGCCCAGCCTCCCGTACTTTGAACACGCTTGGTCGGTGCTAAGCATAATTGGTGTATTCAACGTGTTTTTGGGGCTGCTCATTATCGGAATCACGTCGTTTTCTAAGCTCACGGTCGTACCCATCGTCTCGTCGGCGGCTGGCGCCATCGCGAATGGACTCTATTTCCACGCGTACTATGACAAGCCATATCCTCTTGCGAAGAGGGCAGCGGCAGCAGCCATTGGCGATATCTGCTGGCTCGTGAGTCAACCCGCTTACCTGTATCACCGGAGGTCTTATTCCTCAAGTTGCTAACGGAAGCCCGATAGATTCAAGAAGCAGGGCTGCCCTTCTACAGCTTCATCATCCTCAACAGACTTCTGCGGGGGACGAAACGAAGAGTCTTCCACACCGTATTCTGGTCAACTCTCGTCCTTGTCACCGTCGTCAAAGTCGTGATCATCTACTACCGTCTCCTCCGGATCCTAAGGGAAGACGACAGCCTCCAGAGCATCATCATTAGGATCCACATTGCCTACTTTGGCCTCTTCGCCGTCAGCGAGTGCGTCAGCGCCTACTTTCTCCTCCGCATCTTCGCCGAAGTCAGAAAGTCGTCAAAGGAAGCCGGTCTCCGAACGAGCTTCATCCGGTACCTGATGCGCAGCACAGAGATCCGCGTCGCTTCGCTGGCCGTGGCGGCGGCGATACGGGTGATTACGCATTCGTTGAACGTGTGGCAGAGTAGTCCCGCGACGAGATACGTGGATCGAGCTGCTTATGCGCTCGGTTGCTTCTTTCCCGTTATTATGTAGTAAGTTCTCACATGGTTTTCCGAAAGTCAGGATACAGAGTTGCTGACTACGTTCCTGTTGACAGCGTCGACTTGCTGGCATCGAAGCTGCAGTTTACGACGCAGACGAATGATCCCTCTTTCGCTAGTGACAGACCACTGCGGGGTGCGGTATCGTCTGGGAAGACGGAAGAATAATGGTTTAGACGTGCACCGTTCGCTTTATAATACATGAAATCTTAATGAGATGAAAGGAAGTACCAATTAAATCATCGCATCCGCCATCTGTGTTCTTCATTCAGCCATCGTGCTAGAGTCTCGTGATCATGATCTAGTAGTCTTTCGTACTGATACGAGAACACCATACCTCGTGTCCGAAATCGTCATCCGCCACAAGAGAGCAGTGACCTGTGGTCTCGTTTCTAGCCTGACTGCGAGGTTCTCTCTGAGTTCAACTTCGTGACAAACTAGAGCTGTCAACAGTTGAGGGGAATACGAGATGGTCCGATTTTCGACGTTGCATCGATCCTTCGCAAGGGTCTCTGCAACTTCTTTGTCTCTTGAAGCCGATTGGACCCGACTATCCTTCATTCTCTGCTAGGCGACTAGACACTCGCTTCGATTCGATTGACTGCTTACTTACACATGTTCCTGGCTAGAGCCTAATCGCAACAACACAACACAGGCTCTACTCCACTCTCGAGACCGTCCGCGCCCCTGGAGAGTCAGCTTACATGTAACCTTACGCATTCACCTACAAAGTAGGTCATCATCAAAGTTGCATTGGGGGCATGCAGATACAGTGAATGAATCCCAATATTGAAGAAATGCGATTCGGCTCAGTAGAGCTTTCCGATGTCACCAATAGTAGGCTCGCTTGGCAGGGCATGCGTTCTCCTTTTGAGTGTGGCGTTGACAAACTAGTGCGGCCCGCGATCCTTGGAGCATTTGAGCTTCCTCATGGAGACAAACGTAGGATCGCGGAACCGCCAGGGCAACAGAGCCGCCGCTTTGCCAAGGGTCCAGATCTTATGGTATAATGCAACCTCAAATAATACGACACGAATTTAGAGTCTACTTCATACGGTCGATAGGTAAATAACTCAAAACTTGCGAGAAACTATTTAAGACACATGATTTTCTCAAGAACATGTGGCTATTTAACTCTTCATCATCACCTTCCGAACAGTAGAATCACTCTTGATCACCTCGATCCAGATATCTTCAAAATGAGATTCTTTGTCGCTGGTATTGCCCTTTTGGCATCAGCTGTAAGTCTAAATGTAACCTAGGCAAGGAGAACATTGCGCTAGGAGCTGTCTGACTAATTGTGTCTTCTAGGTTATTGCCGCTCCTTCAGACAAGGGCTTGGAATTCCGAACTGCCGATGAGGTGAAGGATCAGCTGTTGCCCATCTCCGAGATGACCTTCACTGGGCCAGTCGTCGTCGGCGGCCCGAATGTCACCCTCCACGGAGATGCTTCCTCCATCTATGAGCAGATCCTCGCCATCAACCCTACCTTCAATGTGGAAGGATTCCAGGAGCCAGAGGGAGGCCTGGAGGTTAGACAGACTACCGTAAGTTTGCTGATAGGCTTTTCGAGTCTACTGCGCCTGGTTTGGAACAGAGAAGACCAGAAAGCTAACTCAAAGCAAAGAACAACTGGAATTGCAACCAAGGAACGTACGTCGAAGCGTACTATTCTCAGTGCGCCAACGCCATCAACCGTTTGATCACCCTGGGCACCAACTACTGCAGCGTACCTGCCAGCACCTGTGCTCGCGTGGCCTGCTCCAACAGCTGCTCTATCTACCTGTGCAACAACGTAAGTCGTTGCTCTTCCCTGGATTTCATAATACCAAAGACAAAGGCTAACGTCAACAGCGGTTTATCGAGACGAGTGTGTACTGCAGTGATATCGCTGTCGATATGGGCATCATTGTGAGCAGGTGTGGCACTGTTGCCAACGGTGACACCCGGGCGAGAGGCACCCTGAGCTTTCCGAGTCACTACACTTATCTTACCCAGCAGACTTGCTAAAATGACTTTGTCCAAGGCTAGATAATTAAACTCAACTACCATACCGATATTTCTGAGTTTCACACCCATAATTAACACTCTGCAGCACATATTGTGAGGGTTTTGACTGAATCAGCTCTTAGAACTACTAGCTTTATTGCGAGCCTGGCTTCTTGAGTCCATCCGGATGAATCTAGCATGACTCGACCAATAGGGACGTCACAGAATACATTCATGGGGTTCCGTGTATTATTGAAAAACGTATGTCATGTCATGGTTCCTGACATCAGGGACCTGTGAGTGAGAGCAAGACGGGAAATCTTGATTAACACCGTGGTGGTTGACATGGTGCCATTATTGCTGTTTCGATTGTGCGTTGAAAATCCGAGTTTGCTTCCTGTATAATCAAATGGTAATGTCAATGTTTCTTGAATGTTCTTCTCCACCCACACGTACTACCTGACACTAAACTAGAACTACTTACCAGCTCACCAAACGAGATAATTTGCTGTAGATGTCTTTACTCTTGGCAGGTCTCATTGTTATTGAGCATGCATTGACTCTTTGCATGGCCCAATGTTGAAGATTCAAGCATCTTGAAATGGTCCCACCCCAAATTTCTCATCGCTCTACCCTGTTACCGTTCGTTAAGAATCTCCTTGTTCGATATTTTTATAAGCCCGCGCCTCTGCTATAGGAAGCTCTTGTTGCGTTGCACAACGTTCTGTACCACAATTTTTGCACTTACCATACGCTAACAAAGATAATGCTATGGAAATGTTGAACTGAGCCACACGATTCAGGAAAGCAAAAGTTGTCACACCTGTTCCGTACTCTTCATTGTAGTCTGAGTTGTGGCCCTGATCTGTCTAACGCAGTGAAGATATCCTACAAAAACGCTTTTCGGACTAACCCTGTCATGGTTGTACACTGCGCCAGAGGGCTTGAAAATATATCATTCATTATACGACTATTCATTAATTAGACACTCCTTGCATGAGATGCAATTAAGCCACCGGACCACAGGCTGACGCTATGGGTGACGATTTACGCAGTCCATCCCGACAGGTTCTCCACACAACTCAGCAACCGTTGCTTGAGGTCAGACGAATACCACATCTCGACCACAAGGCGCTGCAAGTACAATTTCGGGACCAGGTTTATCAACTCGCTCCACAGGGGATGTAATGTCAACTTTAAGAAGCAGAGGCCACTCATCTCTAATCAAATCGGCATCCTCTCCGAAGAGTACAATTGCGCCCACTTCATCGAAGACTTCAAAAGCACCCTCTCTTCAACCTCCGCCGCCTCCACCGCCAAAGCCTACCGAGGGAATCCCTATCATGTACGAGATCGCTTACCGTCCCGCAGAAAGAAATGGCCGAGGTGGGCGGTGGGTGATGTTGGAGAAATGGAGAAGACTCGGCGTTCAAAGTATGCGAGGCTACTCGTCTTGGAGAAGCGATGCCGAGCCGTCCTTTGACGGAAAGGCCTTGGCCAAACAGCATCAAAGCTTTGAAGTCAGCTCATGGCCATAAGAATTGCAAATATTATGGGAACGACAGTGGGGCAGGCAGGTTATCGTGTGACGGGATAGCCGAGTTTGCTTGTGTCAAGGACCCGAACTCTGGTTCAATTACAAGGTGTGGGCAGGCGATGAATCAGAGGAGCTTGGATGCAAGGGTTATATATTGGTTCTCCTATCCTGAGAGTGCTGATTGATTCCACTTCCGCAATTCTATGTGTATTAAAAAAAAGGATAGCGCTTCAATCGAAGTCGTTAGATCAAAGCAGCTACTTTACCTGTTGGCAAGATGTCAGTACAGAGGCACATATTTTTTACAAGGGGTAGTAACTAATCATATAATAATACACACCTTCACACATTATTTCACTGAATTTAAACCTCATAGTGAATCTCGATTTAGAGAAAAATTAGAGGTATACGTGCTGATGGAACAGAAGTGCAAGCCAGGCTCTAAAGAGGTATGTAGAAGACCAAGGTACCTCGGCAGGTTGGGCCCACAATAATGATGATGGCGGAGCCGGCCAATAAGAGAGCAGAGATCACGACGCACTAGGTAAATAAGGGATTTTCCCGGATAGGTACGTTGGGAAGAGCTAGTACATATCCTGAGACAATCATTCAATATAATGATATGATCACGATTATCTATAATAAATCCGGCTACAGAAACTTGGCTCGGCCTACCGACTCAAGATGCAGGCGGATAAGGGTTGCTGGACTTGCAAGCGTAAGCAACTGACCACGACGTCATCGGGAGTGAGCTTCTTGAGTACTAACTCCCGTACTGAGCCAGAGAGAAAGATTGGCTGTGACAAAAGCATTCCGCACTGCAATAATTGCGTCCGAACGAGGAGAGAGTGTGCTGGCTACGGGATTCGCCTGAACTGGCCTGACCAGCTTCGCAGCAGGGAGAAAGATCTAATCGTTTGCCCCGTGGTAGAGATAGCGAGTGCTCAAGAGCACCACCAGACTCTTGGGACTAGGTTCCTCAATACCACTCACAGACACTTCCGCTTGGCGACCAAGCGACGCGTCATGTGGCATCAGGTCATGCACCGAGCGTCTGTTGGACCAGTCGCTTCTGTTACCCTTTACTCACCCCAGCTAGATGAAGACGGCATGCTCCTGGTTTACTGTGCGGACCTGACTGGTTACTTTACGAAGATTTCTGACTGACGGTTGTAGACGATCAGATCATAGCGCCAATGTGCTCAACGACCCGGACGGCAAATGGCTTTCGGTGTCATATCCTTCCAATGGTATTATCTTCTCGGGATGAATCCACGCAAGCCTTGTGCAGTGCGATTCTAGCGATCGCAGCTCATCATCGTCAAGGAGCCGACGCCGCGTCAAGTCACAAGATTAAGGCGATCCACGGACTATACAAGACTCTCGACAACTCTTCTCTCAGTGCCGAAACTCATGTGGCTACTACAATGATGCTGTGCATGTACACTGTAAGCTCGCGGTACCTGAGCATTGAGCTAGACATTCTCTGTTAACAATAACCGGGTATTTGATGAAAATGAGGCTCAGTTCCAATTACATCTAAACGGTGCCAAGCATATGCTGATGAACTCAACGTCATACCAGCGACGTCAACCTGTGTTCCAGTTTCTGATGGGGTGGATAGTTTATTACGATACTCTCAGCGAATTCGCACAGCCTCACAGGAGCACTCTCAATGACTTTGGCCAACTTGAACATTCCGGCAAGCTGCAGACTATGCCTGGCGAGGGAAGTGAGACGCTTGCACGGATCTACGTTTTGCTAACATTAACAAGGTTATCGGTCTATTTGGCTGCTCTGTCGAGGTCTTTGACAACATATCGTCTATCAACCAAATACGCACAATGATGCTGAAGTCGGAGAGGAGCGACATCAAGAGAAAGACAGAACAGTTCAGGATCGTCTTGCAAGAGAAGCTGGAGAGCCTAGTACACTTCCTAAGCCCTGACGAAGTTGCACACTCGACGAGCGCCCAGATTCGAGATGCATTAGCCACTGCGGAATTGTATCGCTTGGCAAGTCTGCTATACCTCCAGCGTGTCGTTCCTGTCGCAGGCGACGAGAAGAAGAGAATTAGCTACTTGGAACAGGCATACGCAGCGATGAAAGAAGTGCGTGTAGCGACAAGCCCCTGGCCAGTGTTCATTTTCGCATGCGAGACGCGTTCGGAAGAGCAGCGCATTTACATACTTGACATCCTGGACCGCATGGACAGAATTAGGAATGTCGGGAACGTACGTGTTATGCGGTCCGTGATTGAGAACATATGGATACAACAGGATCTGCGGGAATTGGTAGATGCAACGGGAACGATACCATGGTGGCTCTGTATTGAGTCCGACCTGCCAGTACCTTGGTTTGCATGAGAGAATGGATCAGTTCGTTCCTACGACTAAAAAAAAAAATGAAATTCTGTCCCTTCTAACCACGTGCTTGCTCACTCAACTTGACCTTCCTGTTCAAAGTTTAGCGTTTGCGAAAATCAGCAGCGAAGGCACAATAGTAGAATCAGAGTGGTCAAAGATGATGTTATGTATGTTCCTATAATCTTCTATAAACCATATCGGTCTTTCTGAACTTCATAGTGCATCGCCCAGATAAGGAAACCTGCAGAAATACAGCGTCGAAGGGCGATAACATTTGAAGCTGGGTCGGAGCTCAGAACTGTGCCATTGGCCCCGTGACAGACTACATGCAGTGTGAGAGTCATGGACATTTGATACTGAACCAGACCTGCTTCCCATTCCCACCTCGCCCTAGCGCCGTAGGGCTTATTGGGATCAATCATAGCATTGGGCCTGCAAGCTTGTGGTGATCATACCCACTTTACACTTAACAGACACCTTCTTCTGCTCACGTCCACACCACCGTATGCATATTGCGCTAACTCGCTGGGAAACTGCGACCCCGCTTATCCTGTACTTCTCGAACGCCATTAGTTCATTGACAGGGAACAGGCTCGCAAACACTTGCCCGCCGCAACGAAGCCAAGGGAGACAAAACCAGGCAACCAGCTCAGTGCCGCTTTCAATTCCCATAGCGTATCGACCCTGCAAACGATGACTATATAAGCCTCAAAAAGAACAGGAATGTTCTCCTCAAGACTGCTCCAACTTACGCATATTTCCCACTCGTACATCTAGTCAGTTTCTCCTTCGCGGACCAAGACTTACGACATGCCAGCTCCCGCCACTATCAACGCACCTCAGCGTATCCTACAACTCCTATCTGAGCTTCACCAGAAGTCACTGGATCAGGAGGCTGTCCTCTCCAAGACCGGCAAAGTATTTTCCTCTAAGGCTATCGGCGATTTAGAAGACCAGCATGGCCAGGGAGAGGCCAAGAACGAGTTTGACAAGCTCATGCTGGATAAGTTCGTCGCACTGGATGAAGACAAGTGCCGGTTCACGTACCAGCTAATCAATGCTATGGGCGCCACCAATGTCGTGGAAGCCGGCACAAGCTTCGGCGTCAGCACCATCTATCTTGCGCTTGCTGTCGCTCAGACCAAGGCTACAACGGGCAAATCCGGAACCGTAATTGCGACGGAGAAAGAGAGGCAAAAAGCTGCGATTGCGCGCGGCTACTGGAAACAGTGCGGTTCGGTGGTCGAGCAAGAGATTGACTTACGGGAGGGGGATATACTCGAAACATTGAAGCAGGGGCTTCCGTGGGTTGACCTTCTCCTTCTTGACAGTGAGTTACTACTCTGCTATAATGTGAAGAGAACTCTGTGTGGCTAAACTGTTCATAGTTTGGTCGGCGCTCGCTTTGCCGACGCTTAAGACAGTTCTTCCTCGACTACGACCTGGCGCGGTGGTCCTGACTGATAACACGATCTCAGCGGCGGACGGATACAAGCATTTGTTGGAATTCTTGCGAGAGCCGAAGAACGGCTTCCAGAATATGACTTTGCCATTTACCAGCGGATTTGAGATGAGTGTTTATCTGCCGGGAGTAATAAGTTAGATGTTATGGGTAGCAAAATGGGTTGAGGAATCTTGCTGCGTTGCTGCATTATAGTACAGGGCTGTATAATGATGCGCGGAATGACTAGTCATAAATGATACAAAGAATTTCTTAATACTGTTTGCGAGTAGATGTTGCAAATTTGCTGATATATGAGTGTACGTTATACGGCGAAAATTTGTTTCTGTCCTCTCTTGCTATTCTCGAAAAGCGAACCCCGAGCCAGCCCTCTTCCGTCTTAGCACTCGTCTGAAGAATTGGCGGCCTCTTAGCAGGTCCGGTGGACGGATTTGAAGATGGGATTATATCTCTGAGTCCCGCTCTGAATATGTTTACTACAATAACCGAACTTCTGCTCAGCATTCAGCCCACAAGGGGTCTGATGGGAGTCACCAACTAGTGACCTAATCTGTCGGCCGAAGAGACTAAGATGATGCTCGTGTAAGAATACCCCAGTCCGAGCACGCCAACAGCTTTTCTGAAGCTGCAACCAGGTGGAACATCCCTGAAATCGATCCACTTCATGGAGAAAGATGGAAGGCATTTGCGATCAGAGCTTATCAACGGGGAAATGCCATCGCATCACTTCCAGACGTAATCATACTTTCTTCAGGTTCTGCTGTGAATATTTAACTATCAACTGCCAGCAGATTTTCGGAAGTCATATCAATGCACGACTCACTGTTCCGACTTACATCACAACCAAACCCGTCCTCTTGTCCAACATGTCACTGCCTACCCCTCTGCCATACTCCAGCGTCCTAGATGCTATAGGCAACACCCCAGTTTTCCAACTCATGCGCATCGTCCCCGAACGTTGCGCCGATGTATTTGTCAAGCTGGAGTTCCTAAGCCCAACGGGCTCTTACAAAGACCGCATGGCCAAGTCAACGGTTGAGGAAGCCGAACGCCGTGGTGATCTCACGCCCAACATTACAGTTGTCGAAGCGACCGGCGGAAGCACTGGATCCTCTTTGGCATTTGTTTGTGCGGTGAAGGGGTATAGGTTCCTAGCCCTCTCATCCGAGGCATACGCAAAAGAGAAGCTGCAGACAATGGTTGCCTTTGGGGCTACGGTCAATATTACGCCCAGCCCCTCTGGCAACACCACAGCGGATCTCATGGCATCAATGAAGAACCGTGCGGCACAATTGGGTTCGCGCGATCAGTTCCTTTACACCGACCAGTTCAGCAACCGAGATGCACTTATTGGATATGCCGAGATTGGCAACGAGCTGGTCCGCCAGTTCCCTGGCGGGTTTGACGTGTTCTGCGGCGCGTTCGGGACGGGAGGTATGGCAATGGGGGTGTCAAGCGTTATCAAGATGCAGAACCCCAACGTCCGCGTGGTGCTACTGGAACCCTCGTCGGCGGCTTTGCTGACTGAGGGCCAGGGCGGATCACACGGTGTTGACGGCGTCGCGCCAGGCTTCATCTGCCCTCATGTTACAAGAGAATTGTACGATGAGGCCCGCACTGTGGATGAAGGCATCGCCCGGAATATGTGCCGTCGATTGTGCAGAGAGGAAGGCCTGATACTTGGGACATCTTCGGGGATGAATATCGCAGCAGCTATTGAAATCGCGAAAGAGCTGGGGCCAGGGAAAAAGATAGTTACGATTGCTTGTGATACCGGACTCAAGTACTTATCTGGACCTTTGTTCTCGTGAACGCCTACTATGGTAGTCGGTGTCACATCATACTAATCACTGCGGGTGTTCAACAAGCTATGCTGAAACTTACATGCATCTCCAGGAAAAGGATTTCATAGTCACAATAATTTGTTGTTAGATACGAGGATACAATCACGCATAGTCTAGATGCTTCCAGCTTGAAATGCATGCACAGACTGACAACATTATTCGATGGCATGTTGTAGGTTTCAGCAAGCAGCCGCCACTCTGATTTACACACATGTGGCAAATTTAATGACTGCAGGAATTATGCGCTCAAGACTGTATGTCACGATGCACCTTTCTCCTTTCCTTCTCGATACTTGGCACGATGCCCTCAATTTTCATGCAGCACGAGCATCGAAAGTTCAAATTACTGACATGTACCAAGATTCTGTCAACATTCACATTCAACCCTTCACCGCCACTCGTGTGGCAGGAATCTCTCATAACATGAATGGGATGGATCCTCGACCATGCCCAAAACCACACATTTTGCAGACGCCACCGACCACATACCTCGAGACCATGCCGGCAAGAAAAAAGCTGGTCTAGATGCGCAAGTTTCCCTGCCTGTATCATGTCACCCCCAGCCGGCTCTACCCGTCTTGATGCAGCAGCCACGCATTCATCCGTTGAGTGGCTTGCAACATTTTGCCATTGAAAATGCAGATCTCCTCATTTACAAGTCTCACCTCGCAATAAGCGCCCACCTGTACTCAGAATGGCCTCATAAGACGCAATCCCTTATCTCGCTTGCCGGCATTCTCTTGTCCAGTGTTGGACGAATGACTGTTTGCAGGGTCCGAGAACGAGAAAGACACACACAAGATGGTATTTCAGCTGGACCCTTGGAAACGCCACAAAATCCCCCGCCAGGAATGTTTTCATCGTGTTCCGGGTTACCGTGAACATCAACATGCAGGACCACGGACCGGGCCACGCGCGGGGAACCTGCCTTGCCGCCCTCTAGCTGCAAAAAAGTGAATTGCCTAGACCAAACATTTGTGCGGCTGAGAAACGACTGAGACACTGGACGGCACGCACCTGGTAGACGGGCACGACGGTTAACCACGCGGGATGGGTTACCCCGCCCGCTTCTAGTCTCAATCCGGCGAGGGATTCTCAGAAATTCTAAGGGTTCTCACGATCAACTGACACCGTTCCCGTTTGGAGCTGAGGCAACATCACGAAAAAAAGGCGTCATGAAATGGCATGATGGGCAATGCAGCTGACGGAGCCTAGAAGGTCCAGAAGCAACCGCAGGAGAGACATCGTGGAACTCTAAATGGCACGCAGCTACGGGCCTACGGCAACACGAATGGCTCAACGTGCTCGGAACGAGGAGCTGAACGCCTTTGCTGCATTTTGGCTTGGTGATGTGCTGATTTTTGACCGCATTGAGGAGTCGAGACGACGGATTCATTCCAAGAGTCGGTGAAGGTCGAAGCGAACGGAAAACTCAGAGAATCTTGTGCTTTTGAGCGTGGGAATACTGCTTGGTTTCGAGTATAAGAGAAGAGATGAGAACCTGCAAATCCAACGATGTTTCTTGCTCATCATCAGTCACTTCACTCTCGATCATCTACTCTAATCACCCTTCTCAACATTTAAACACTGCTCTTCGTTCAGTCTAAGAACCCTCAGCTTAACCAACATGTCTTCTTCTCAACAGCCCCCTAGGCCCCTCAGCCACTTCTCTCCTGTCCCCGTATCCGCTGTCTCTGCCTTGTATGACAACGACAACAAGATCCTCTATCTCAAGGCCCAAGGCAATGCCCTCAACATCACCACTGATATCCAAATCGTCCGCCTCCAGCGATTCGGCGGCTTGCTCTTCCAGGTCGTAGGATGGGTCGGCCCCATCAGCGAAGGAACCCGTCCTTACACCCAAACCAACACCTTCCCCATCGACCTCCCCAGCCGCGTCTTCCCCTCCGGCTACGTCGTCATCAAGGGCGCAGACAACAAGCAGCTCACCGTCAAGATCGAGCCTCTCCTCAAGGACGGCGGTAACAACGCCAAGCTCCAGGCCTCTTCCAACGCACAGGCCGACTTCGAGATCCCCGACGTCAAGCTCATCCCCCCCACGGAGCCCATCATCACCAAGCTCGGACAGGGCTTCACCGTCCGCCAGAACGACCAGTTCAAGGGCCAGGGAGGCAGCGTCGACATCTTCTTCAACTCGGCCTTTGTCAAGCTGACCAACGCCAGCATCGTCGAGAACCAGATTGAGTGGACCTTTGACACCCTGCAGACCGGCAACTCCCAGGTTATCGTCTCCGTCTCCCAGCAAAACCCCCCTTTCTCCTACCGCGTGGTCCGCAACGTCATCATCAAGCCCGCTGCCTCTACTGAAGCCCTCAAGCCCCTGGCCCTCTTCTCCGTCAACGACGCCTCCAAGGCCACGCAAGATAACACCGAGGCCGAGATCGCCAAGTCCGGAAACAAGGATTCCAACATCGTCATCCCCTCCTGGGACGTCGCCGTCAACATCGGCCTCCAGGCGATCCAGAAGCAGTTCCCCAGCGCCAAGCTCCAGACCGCCACAGGCCGCTCCCCGAACCCCGCCGGCGTCGAGCAGCCCTACGAGCTCTCCCTCGTCACCGTCGTCGCCCGCATCGACAACGACAAGATCGCCAGCGTCAGCACGGACGGATTCCTCAACTTTGGCCCCGTCCACACCGGAAAGGCTCTTATCGGCGTTGAAACCTTCAACTGGCCTGTTAAGGTCAACTCCAACGATGTCTTCTCCATCGCCCGCAAGGCCGGATTCCGGGAGCCCGTCAACAACATTGCGCTCTCCAAGCCCGCCAGCGGCCCCTCCCTTGAACAGCCGCTCTACACGCTCACCCTCGGTGACTTGAGCGTTCAGATTGGAGCTACCGATGGCAAGATCCTGAGCGAGATCAATGCTTAGGTTGAGCAGAGCTAAGCTCCATGAAAAAGTTGCAGTGGCTGGGCATATGATTTAGTCAAAATGCCCACGTTGTTGCAATTGGTTGGTTTGGAGGTGGAGGTGTCTCCTTTGTCCAAAAATCTGCAGATTGATTGCGGTTTGCGCTCTCTCTAAAAGTCCCCTCAAATGTCGAGGGCGAAGCTAAAAAAAATACCATCGTTCCATCGATATCTCTATAGTTATTAATATAATTCAACATTTCACTCTATGTATGCCGTTCGTTAACAGCCTCGATATATCCTTGATGTAATCTATGACTGTAGCCAGCGATCGAGGACATCCACTGCTACTGACGGTATTGGCGTCTAGTTGATCATCATGTGTTGAGTGGTGATATATACCCTGGTCAAACTCACATGCAACCATCTAGTCAAAGCTTCGAAAGCCAAATGAATATTGGGCAACTCGTACGGACTCTACTGCAAGTCACCAATGTAACTTCGTTAGCAATTGACAATTTTTACTCAGGTTGCCTGCGAACTGCACCTTGCAAAGTTGATCTTAAGGGTGTACTTGTATTGTGCAGGCGTCACAAGTGTCATAACAAAGGGCACCCCAAACTCGAGGAGATGATTGAGGAAGGTAGTTCATAAGGTTCCATAAGATTGTCTATGGCGCCATGGCCAGACGTTAGCCAGCCGAGCCCCAGAAACTCCGTACATAATTATGCCATCCGTACTCTCTAGCGAACCAGACTCCAAAGCTCCAGGCCAAAACAAATTAAGAACCACGCTCGATCAGGGCAATACTGCTTGTACTCAAGCCATCTTCTGACGTTTCGGATCTGCTCCCGGTGCGCCAGGAGGGTTGCCCGACGTCCCATTGTTCGATACATCAGCCAGGGCCGGTCGTCCAGCGCCGTCTTGCTGCAAAGGACGCTTCATCGTGGGTGGCCGGTACGAGTTTCGGTTAGCCAGGGGACTACCAGCGCCTCCAGGAGCACCGATACGGCGAGTCTGGCTGAACTGAGGGTGAGGCATGCCGGCTCCTCCTCCCGGGCCGGCATTGCCCGGTCTCACCGGTGTGAAGCCGGACGTAGACGGTTGTTGCGATGGGGTGGGCGGGACGTGTTGACCAGATCTAGAGAGCGGCTTTGAGCTCGAGTGGTCTATGCCGGGGGTCTTTCGTATGGATGGGCTCTCTGCCTTTGGATTGAAGGCTTGTTGGCCGGCTGGCAGCAACATGGGGGCGTCAGCATTGTTCCCCTGCAGAGCAGATTCTGGGATTTGCTGTACAGCACGTGCAGAAAAGAAGCCGATGGGTTCGGCGGCGGCATTTCCAGCCTGGCCTGGCGTGGTCACATTGGCATTTGCTGAGGGAGCGGACGGAGCGGAGGGGCCTGACGGGTTCGAGGGTGCGCGGGGTTGGTTTGGTGGTTGAGGTCGGTTGCCGTAGCCTGTTGGAGGGCCCGGTCGTGATTGTGCTTGATTTGGTGTCTGAGGTGGTCGTTGATTTCCATTGTTTCCTAAATTTCCTGCTGATGTGCTCCTGCCCATTTGACGAGACGGTGCTTGCATGTGCTGAGGTACGGGCGCTGGGGCAACGCTCGCAGCCCTACTGTTCGAGTTGCCGTTCGTTGTTGCTGGGAGAGTAACTTCGTCAGGATGGTCGCCTTCGGAGATGGCGAAGTCCACATCGTCGAAGTCTAGTCATGTCAGCAAAAGAGCTCTGCGCTCCATCGGCCACACTCAAGAGTTCCCACCTTCATCCATCAGGTCTTCGAGAGATTCCGTGGTCTCAAGTTTTACGGGTGGTGCTGGTGGTGCCGCTGGTGCCGCTGGTGCCTTTTCCTCCACCCTTTTGACGACAAAGTCTCGCTGTCTGTGCAAGTCATCTTCGTGGAACCTTTTCGGTTCAACCTTCATCTTGATCACCCTAGCGAGGTAATCCTTGTCGTATATGCAGTTGCCCAACACATTGCCAAAGTTCCTCAACGCCCTCTTCAACGCATCTGTGGTGCCCTCCTTTTTCGCCTTTTCAAACGCCGCAGCCTTGCCCTTGCAGTTCTCGATATGCCCATACCCAATATCCTCGTGAA